CACTCCTAGTTCATTCAGTTCGATAAGAATTTCAAGAGCCAAATTCCTGCTTGGTTTGCACAATGATGGCATCTTCATGGCCCNATGAAAAGAAGTTTAGCTACTATGATTACATTGATTCATGGTATAAACTTCTCTTCTATCAAGATGAGTCATTAACTCACTCCTAGTTCATTCAGTTCGATAAGAATTTCAAGAGCCAAATTCCTGCTTGGTTTGCACAATGATGACATCTTCATGGCCCCATACCTGAAATTCTTCCACTGGACCTACAAGATCAGGTCACTTATTTTGCTTCTGTTTATAAACCTTGTTTTTATGACAGAATTCATTTCACGAGTTTGTTAATTTTCTTTACCCAATATAAACTTCTTTGGATCTATAAGTGGTCTTGAAAAATATGTTCTAACTTTGTTTGCAGGCAATCCAGTGTGAAATGGTGGCTCAGGTTCCAACATGACCACATCATTGCCCAAGTCAAAAAGGAGTTCCCAGTAAAGGTTCTGACACCAGTTACAGTATCAACTGTTGCAACTACCCTTCCACTAGTAACTCCAACACCAGCAAAGGCTCTGCCGACCCTTAGGGTTTCTACACCAGAGAAAACCCTGACTCCAGCCCCGCTGCAAGCAGCAAAAGAAGTTTTCCTCTAAGGACTCCAGTAAGCCCTTAGAATCATCAAAACAGTCAAAGCAGAAGTCTTCTGAGCTCATTGCCTTAACCCAGAAACTTCTTCAACAGGCAACAAGTTATAGTGATTCATCCTCCCCAACATCATTTGCAGGGTCCATTAACCCATTTGTAGATTTGGGTCCAGATAGCCAAGATCCATTTGATGGAATTGATGACCCACTCCTGGCCTAACTTCTCCTTAATTCTTCTTCTTATACGTGATAGCTTCACTCAATACTTTCTTCACCTAAAGAAAGAAAAGTTGTCTATTACGTATAATGTTAAAATATCTGTCAGTACATCAGCCTTTTTCCCAAGAAAAGTAGCTGACAATACCCATGTGCTCTGCTTTTTCACCGAAAGCAGATTCTTTTCTCCTGAGGCAGGGACCCACTTAACACTCTGCCCTAATTTTCAGACATCAGGACCCATTAAGAGTCTTTTGTCAAAAGTTACCCAAGTAAAAGTATTTTACCTATACTTTTCTACCGAAAGTTGAGGTGAAAGTCTTTTACTAAGAGATAAAGCAGAAAATGACATCATAGCTAAAGATTCCTTCAAAAATCCTTACGCCTATATTAAGGTTTNCATCATTTGCAGGGTCCATTAACCCATTTGTAGATTTGGGTCCAGATAGCCAAGATCCATTTGATGGAATTGATGACCTCACTCCTGGCCTAACTTCTCCTTATACGTGATAGCTTCACTCAATACTTTCTTCACCTAAAGAAAGAAAAGTTGTCTATTACGTATAATGTTAAAATATCTGTCAGTACATCAGCCTTTTTCCCATCTTTTGTCAAAAGTTACCCAAGTAAAAGTATTTTACCTATACTTTTCCACCGAAAGTTGAGGTGAAAGTCTTTTACTAAGAGATAAAGCAGAAAAGGACATCATAGCTAAAGCAGAAAAGGACATCATACGCCTATATTAAGGTCTCCTTGGGGATGGAAGAAATAAGTCTTTTTCAAAAGCACAAAAACCATTACACACCAAGCAAAACACTCCCACCTCCACCAAAACCCTGTATTTTAGAGATCTCTCATAATAATGCAAATGAAGAGTTTCTCTCTTATCCTCTTTCACTACTAGCCCACTGAGTGCTAGTATTATAAGTATCTTAGTTTTATTTCATATTGTAATTTATGTACTTTTGTTTGTAAAATTATTCTACATCTTGTGATTCTTCTTGAACTCACATGAATTCCACACTTCATTACATATATATATTATATACTAATAAAAATATTTTAACATAAATAATNAGTAAAAGTATTTTACCTATACTTTTCCACCGAAAGTTGAGGTGAAAGTCTTTTACTAAGAGATAAAGCAGAAAAGGACATCATAGCTAAAGCAGAAAAGGACATCATACGCCTATATTAAGGTCTCCTTGGGGATGGAAGAAATAAGTCTTTTTCAAAAGCACAAAAACCATTACACACCAAGCAAAACACTCCCACCTCCACCAAAACCCTGTATTTTAGAGATCTCTCATAATAATGCAAATGAAGAGTTTCTCTCTTATCCTCTTTCACTACTAGCCCACTTAGTGCTAGTATTATAAGTATCTTAGTTTTATTTCATATTGTAATTTATGTACTTTTGTTTGTAAAATTATTCTACATCTTGTGATTCTCCTTGAACTCACATGAATTCCACACTTCATTACATATATATATATATTATATACTAATAAAAATATTTTAACATAAATATTTTTTAATTTTCTATTTTACTCTTATAAAGAATTGCAAAGACCACTTTATCCTTTCACAATTAAATGTCTAAATTATCATCATATTTTTATGTATCTAAATCTCTAAATTACCTCTAACATCTATTTTAATTATCTATTATTTATGTATAGATGTCAGTTTATAATAATTTATTTTCATTAACTTATTACCCTTAAGAAAATCTGCATCATTATATTTTCAATTAAGTGCTCAAAAAATCTTTAACTATCAATCTAGTATTACTTATCTCATCAAAATGTTTAACACTTTCATTTCTAAGATAAAAAAATAATCATATATATAGTTTTTTAAAATTATATTATATTATATCAGTGCAATTCTTCAGTTACAATAAATTTTCTATTTTATCTTGAGATTTTATGTGAAAATATATTATAGTGTTATCCCAATTGACCTAATTTATTCTTAATTATAGTAAGATTCTAATATAATTAGTATAATGACAATTGCTTTTATTTTATTCAAAGAATTACAAGTGGAATTCTAATCAAATGAATTTCAAAAAATTTAATTGATCAAACATTACTAAAAAATCACTTTCAATCATAAAATTTTTATGAAAGATAGAACTTTAACTATTTTTTTTTAATAGTTAGAAAAATGAATTTTGAAAACATACAAAGTTTTTATAATACTATAATAGATTATGAGCAATAAAAAATTAAGTTTAATAAATTTGAGATGATATTTAATTTATATATACATATACTTAATATGTTTTATTAATTTTTGTGTACAAAAGCTATTTATGTACAACATACGTGATGCATTACTAATATAATAACTGAATATATAGATATGTCACTGTATATATTCACTAATGAGTATTGTCACTTAGCATTTCATAATTATTTGCAGGAAACTCTACTGTACCTAGGTCAGGGCCAAAGTTACGACTCATTGCGTGCTTGGACACTTCAAAATAGGTTTAGCCCCACTAAACTGTCATAATTATGGAAACTCGAAACCCTGACATTCTACTAAAGCAATTGCTTGGTAGTAGGCCCAAATCTTTGATCTTGCTTAAGATATCATGAAATCACTGAACCATAAATTTATGGGAAAATTGTGAAAAGGTAAACATTTTCATACTTATTTGTGTAAAAATACTTCAATATAAAATATATATGTATAAGTACCTTTATATGTAAATGTTTGGTGAAGAGGTACACTTTTGCTGAATTATAATTTTTTCTCTTACTACATTGCCCTTTTCATTTATTAATGAGAGACAACTATGACAGTTATATAGGGATTTAGTTTCCTAATTTTATGGTATATCTTTTTGAATTTTAAATTACCTATTAATCTATAATTGAACAACTATTTATTAAAACATTCCATATTTATTCCTCTATCATTCAAATCAAAAATATCTGTCAATGACACCTTCCCGCCAATCAATGTAAACCAAAATGTCACAGTGATACCTTCTAATGACAATGGTACCAGCAATGACACACTGTTACCAGCCAAAATTCACATATATTCCTCATTTTTTTTATAAATCGTAATGAGGAATATATGTTTTTACCTTGTATAATACTATTGATTGTTACGAGTGTTTTTTTTTTTCTGAATATTTTAAATTTAAATTTAGTACAGTGGTACATGTCACATTGACACAGTGATACACAATAATGTCACACTATTACAAGCTAATGTCATATTAATACAAGTCAATGTCACACTAGAAAGGGTGTCCGTGATATTTTTGATAATCGAGGGAGCATCTTTAAAGATATAATAAACTAGAAGGGATGTGGTTGAAATTTTTCTAAAAATCATTACACCTCTTGAACGCTGCCTCCATGGTCTGCAAGCCTTAAAGAAGATGAATCCTTTTAGAACCCTCCTTTTTCATGTACAGATTCATATGGTTTCTACAATCCATGACCTTCCTTTGCGGTCCACCTCAACATTGAGAATGTTTGGAACCTTGTGCTTCAAGTCCTTAGAGAGTTTTGCGATCTCGACGAGTCCCCTTGATCAGAAACAAAAGGAGTTATTTTCCGTTGATACTTTGATCGAGAATTGGTTTTTCTATAAGAGAAAATCGTCTAAATCCATTGGAATTAGGACGTTTTGAAAAAAAATGGAGGTTTTAGGGAAGCTTTCTTATCAATCTTGGAATAATGGAGGTTTCGGCGATATTTAAAGAATTTTATAGGTAACAGTTGATATCCGTGATATTTCGATTGTGAAGGCAAAAATATAGGAATCGATTCCCATTTTATTAAAAAGGTATTTTAGAGATTTGTTAAGAATTGTATACTTTTTGATATATATTTTTAAAAGTGATACTTTTTTACCTTATAATTTCTAAAAAAGGTACCGGCCCTTAAAACCCTAAATTTATTACAAATTGACTACTAGGTGTAAATTGTTGTTGTCAAGTTACTTTTTCTTGTGTTGGTTTTTATGTCCAACGACTATTAATATTATAACCAATATATACACTTCCAGAGGTGTTTCTCTGTTCCGCTATTCAATGGCCATTCAAACGTTTTCCACGTATTATTGTCTCCTATACTTGTTTAATTATCTCCAATTATTTATTCTGTGCCGATGCTGCAACTTTGGAATAGAAAGCAGGACATTGCAACAAATATACCATCGCTGAAAATCTGGGTCAGTCATTATGAAGGGGGGAGCCTGAAAAAGGTAAGTTCATTACGAAGAATCAGATGTTTCCTAATATTAATCATTATGATGTATTGGTCAATCGAATTTAGATTCTCTCAATTATATTTTTCACTTAATTTTATGAATGACAGATCTTCTACTATTAATACACATGACCTATTAGTAAATAATGAGTGAAAAATTTATTATTAAGTAAAACTAAGTAAAAATATACTGTAATTGAAAAAATCTGAACCCTCGATCAACCAACATAAGCCCTGTGATGTTGAAAGTTGGAACACCATCATTAATGATGCTGCATCAATGCATGGAATTGCAAAATATTCTGATGAAATATGCATGTAGTATATGATAAGATTACGTACTAAAAATGGAATGAAGATGGACCTGAAAAATTACTCATAGCTGTTTGTTCAAATTTCTACTAACTCATTCCCTAATTTAAGACAAGTGTAATAATTTTTTGGTATTAACTTGTTGTCAAGAATTTCTAAATTCTCAACTTTCCAACCCCCATATTAAACCTGCCTTTTTGATGCCTCAGAAAATCTCTAATTGACAGATTTTTTCCTAAAATTTTTCCCAAAATTAATGGTCGGTCTTTTGCATATTTAATTCTCTCAGCCTCATAATCCTAAAGTTGCTTGTAGTTTCTGTAGAACGTTTCAACACAAAAAAGACTCTGCAAGCCTGTAAGTCCAATCTGGTCACCAGCAGTTCCTGATCGTTTGTTAGTTAGAGTTTTATCTATTTTTATATGATATCTGCTGTTTTGGATTGAAGCATTTAATCTATTTTCTAGACTGATTGTTGTTGGTTATTTGTTATATATTTCTCATAAAGGAGCTGTTCATGTCTATTTATTGACAGCTATTAAATAGTTTACTTTTTTTTTTTTTTTGTCTTCTGAATTGTTTCTCTGCTTATCTTTGTTAAACCAATAATAGTTTCATTCTGGTATAATGGTCTTCTGCATATAGATTAAAAGTAATTGTTTCGCAGATTCCAATGGAAGAAGAGATGTCAAGCATGGTTTTAACTGCAAAAGTAAATGCCATAGAAGAATCTTCAGATTCTAACCGCAGCAGTTATTCAACTCTTGCATGCAATCGATCGATGTCTAACCATAATGTTTTGTGGACGAAATTCAAAGGTGTCGTTCCACAGCACAATGGACACTGGGGGGCTCAGATTTACGCAAACCACCAGAGGGTATGGCTTGGAACCTTTAAATCAGAGAAGGATGCAGCCATGGCTTATGATAGTGCAGCCATGAAGCTTCGGGGTGGAGACTTTCACCGAAACTTCCCTTGGACTAATGACACGGTCCAAGAACCAATATTCCAAAGCCAATTTAGCGAGGAAGCAATCTTGAACATGATCAAGGACGGATCATATCCATCAAAATTTGCTGAATTTTTGAGGAATCGAAGGCATGAAAAGGAAATAGGTCTCAATTTATCAACAGTGTGTGGTAATCGATGGTGTTCTTGCAGACTACTCTTTCAAAAGGAACTAACACCCAGTGATGTAGGGAAGCTTAATAGATTCGTAGTTCCAAAGAAATATGCAGTCAAGTACTTCCCTGACATTGATGAAGGTACAGAAGATGTGCAGCTAGGTTTCCATGATAGGCAGATGAGGTTGTGGAAATTTCGATATTGTTATTGGAAGAGCAGCCAGAGCTATGTATTCACAAGAGGTTGGAATCGATTTGTTAAAGAACAGAATTTGAAAGCAAATGATGTTGTTTCTTTCTACGAGTGTGAAGGCGGAGAAGGAGCAAACAGTCAGATGTATTGGATAGTTGAAGTTGGTTACAAAGATGCCACAAGCAGTGGTGGGATGGTGGAGATGGAGGTAGATCTGCATCTTAGATTGGAACAAAATGCTCATTTTGGGCTGGCCAAGGACGAGAAAGAAGTGTTTGATCAAGATCAGAAGCCGGTGGGATCCAGTCCAGCAGCCAATCTGGAGAAGAAAGGGTTTAGGTTGTTCGGATTTCACATTAATGTCTGACAACAAAATCTCTTTCTAGTTTGTTTATTTTTCGTTTTTCTTGATTTTGCTGTTAGAGTTTGCCATGTTGTTCAGTGGAGCTTAGGGTTTAGATGTGTGCCTGCCAGCGTATTTCCTTGAATTCTAGCAAGAAGGTTATAAACTCATCATAAATGAGCATGCAGATCTCTCGTAATCAATTCCAGTCTTCAAAATGAACATTAATGAATTCAGAGATTTTCTAAACTAGGTTACAACAATGTAGTGGATCCCAAATAGATAAAGGCCTAGTTGAATTGAGGCTGTAGCTGTATTACCCATTTGAAACAAAGCACATTCATCTTCACGGATTTTTCCCCCCCAGCAGGTAGAATTTTCATAGATGATAAAAAAATCTGATGTACATTAGGAGGGGAAGTCCCCAAACAAGAGTAACAAAACAAAAGCTAGCTAAGGTGAGCTGTGATAATGGTATGCTGAGCTATGATAATGAGCTAATTACAATCTATCAATCAATCAAGTTAGGCAACCAGTTGGGAGATACCAGTTTTGCATCAGTTTTTAGATTTTGAGGTAAATTCTTGAACTGCAAGTAGGACATTGGGCTCTATTGGTCTACAAAAAGAGATTCAAAAATGGGATCCTTGGATCCTAATGCCAAGGGTACTCGTAAATGATACAGTGTGTAGCTTTGTCCCAGTCTGAATGTAATTGGGTCTCAAACAGCTTGTATATGGATCNAAATTTGGAGTCCAAATGACATGGCAGTTGACTTGGGTTTCTTTGATTGGTGTCATGTCATTTGGGTGCCAATAAAAATTTCAAATAATCAACTGTCATGTCATTTGAGCTCTAAATTTGGTCCCAAATTTTGGTCAGTGTAGCATTACTCAATTTATTTTGTTTTTCAATAAGTCTCTGGGTTTTGTTACGGGGCCTATGTTTGGAGTAGATATCACCTGAGCAGAGAATTGAATACAAAGATTGATGCTTTTGCGGAATCAAAATTCAGGAGGTCTTACCCAATTTGTAATGTGGGTTCACACTCCAATGGATGATAGAAGCCATCACCCTGGGTTTGAGCTGGTTGTTGGCCATACTCTACATCTTGTGCACTAGGATTCCACTGAAGCGAACATACTTGGTTTCCTTCCATTAGCTGCAAAGCATCAACCAAAAAATTATAAACCGAAGAGAAGATATTGTTATCCACTTACGCATGGGCGGCCCAACATACTTGGGGGCCGGCCCTAGGCAAAAATTTTAAATTAGGCCCTACTAATATATTTTACAATAATATAAATAATTGTCAATAATTAAATTATTTAATATTTTTTCTTTTTCTTTTTTGAGATTCAAAAATATTAATTAAAATTTTAAATTCAAGTTTTATACATTAAAATTCAATTAGCAAAAGTCGAATCCTTGACCGAATATAATTAAGTTAATTTTCTATTAAAGACAATGACAAAGAGAATGGAAATTTAAACTAGTTAACAAAATAAATTTTTTTTTCATAACAAATGTAAAAGTTAAAATTTGTGTAAGTTAAATGGTATTAGAATATGTGAAACATGTTTTAATATTACAGATAATCATCTAAATGTTTTAACTAAGAAATTTTAGCAAGACAATTATAGTTATAATTAATTTCAAATAGTGAGATACTTCTACTCACTCTATTCTATAGTCATTTTTATATGCTTTAAAAAAATAATTAAGTAAAAATCTGTTTTAAATTTGAAGTAACCTCAAATTTAATCTAAAAAAATATAAAGTTATAATTTATAACTATTAATTGATAGACAATGAATTATACAGTTTTTTTTTTTTGATAATAAGATAGAAAAATATGTTATTAGGTGATAACACATATTTTTCATATACCATAAACATTTGACAAAGATAAAACACATAAGGTTAAACTTTAGGGTCCTAAATGTTTTTGTAAGAAATTCTAAAAATTTTACAATACTATTACTTGTATTTAATCTAGGGACCTAATTTTGACACTTAATAAATTATGGTTATTTGATTTTTAGTAAACTTATTCAATGATATTTTTTCTTACTAATTTAATGGTAAAAATGCATTAAGTTCTTAAATTAAACCCAAAAATTAAATCTATTAAAATTGTATAAAAATTTAATTTGGGGCCCCAAAATTTTTGTCCCATTTGGGGCCTAGGCAATGGCCTAGTGCATGGGCCGGCACTGATTCAAAGGTACATTATTTGTGACAAGTCAACCCACTCAAGACATGCAGTTAAATATATAGGGCAGTTTAGCAGTGCCACAATGATACATTATCATACAGTATTGCAAGTGTCTAAGTCTAAGATTTAGTAATCATAATCGTGGGGGCTGATAGAAGGCTGCTGAGTTTTTTCAGCAACTCTTTATTTTTTAGATTTTGGATTAAATTTTCTAAAGAGCAGGCTGTCTGCTTTTACTTCATTGAAATAGCTTTTGGAGAATGAAATAAAGTGTTGATTTGTTTTGGGAAAAAAAAAAGTCTAAGATTTAGTAGGAGATATGTGAACAGCATTTACAATGATAAAATAATGTACTAATTAAATGTGTTAAACGACTATTATCCTTTATCAAACAAGCATCCTGACAATTCAGAATGTTACTCACCCTTTGTCTCAGAGCCGTGTTTGCTTCAGTTAGTGCATGTTCCTGTATGAATAGGATTCAACAAGGTTTGGACAAGTTGGAAAAATGGGGCATAGCATGTGAAGAAGCTCCATAATGGGTTTTTTTACCTTTCTTTGAAGATCTGTGAGCTGGTCCAGCATGTATTGGGTCTGTAAAAAGAAGAATACGAGATGAAGATGTTATAGAAGTATAATTAGTTTTGTATTTTTAATCCTCCACAATGGAATAACATTCACAAATTCACACTGCTAATTTTCTCCATTGTTCACCACTATAAGATGATTGATGGCTGCATTAATGGAGTATGCAATAACAAGGTAAAGTACCCTCGTTGATCGGATCTGCTTCAGTGAAATATCGAGCTGTCTCTCCAGTGATTCAAGCTCTTTGCTGTTTAAAGGGCCAAGATCCTCTCCGAGAAGATTCCTAGGGTCATCGCAGTCAAAGATTTAGTTGGTGATAAATTTTCCAGATATCTGTTCTCTCATATATGATTGCGAATCCCATTTCTCTTTCTTACCTTTGGGATCGTTGCAGTGTTTCATAACGTGCCTTAAGTTTTAAATACTCCTGCTGACTGCTTATTTCCTAGAACCATAGTAATCAAATTCAGGGGTGCAATTAATGGAAAAAAGAATACAAGAACACAAGGTAATGTTATGTGAGTAACGAAGATTACAAATAAATAAATGGAATGAAATAAAAAAATATAGATCATTAATTTTCGTGGATCAGTTTGAAAGCCTAGGCACACATGCGAAACACAACGACAATTATTCACTATTAACAAAGAAAGATTACACAAAATTCTTTATTCAAGATAATACAATCAAACATAGATGATCCAAAACTGGGGGCCAAAATCCCAAAAGAATCAGAGTGATATATAATCTATTTATAGACTAAAAATACTTTATCTTTTAACACAATGGGATTTCTAGTAGTCTTTTACTTGAACTAGAATTCCAAGACATCCACATTTTTAACTTCTTATGAAGAACAAAATTCAAACTAGTTTCTTACTAGGAATATAAGACATCCACAACATGTTATATAATCAAGCTAAAGTGGAAAAAAAGAAAATGAAAACAATCAAGCTCAAAAAATTTGTGTGTGCTTGTTATGTTAAGTTTTAGGTTTAAATCCTTTTGTCTTCTTCTTTGTTCGCTTTTCTTTTTCTNTATAATCAAGCTAAAGTGGAAAAAAAGAAAATGAAAACAATCAAGCTCAAAAAATTGTGTGTGCTTGTTATGTTAAATTTTAGGTTTAAATCCTTTTGTCTTCTTCTTTGTTCGCTTTTCTTTTTATGTTTTTGTTTCTACACCGGGTATATTAACAAGAGAAATTTTGAAACCACTTTGGAAAGGAAGTGATTTTGACTAGTATAAAGGATGTATCCTATCCATCCAATTTGTTGATATTCTGAAACTCAAAGACCTAAAAAACGAAGTAGGTCTAACTTGGCAGCAAAGTATTGCAATGGATGGTCGCACATTACTTTTTCAAAAGAATTTATGGCCAAATAATAGAAATATAGCTTATAGATTCCTCATCCCAAAGGAGTATGCGGTTAAGTACTTCCCATGGGATTAGAAAGGAGTCGGATAATGATAAAAATTGACGATTAGAAGTTAGAAATTTATTAAAATATTATTGTTTTTATATGTATTTGCTTTTATTTCTTATTTTAGGATTTATTTCTTAAGTGGTAGTAGAGTTATATTAGAATCTCGATTTAGGATTTTGGTATCCACTTATATATAGGGGTTGATGTAGTTATTTTGGCACTTTGATTATTGATTTATTGAAATTAGTCTTTTTGCCCTAATCTCCTTCTTCTGTTCTCCTTTTGTAACGCCTTTCACGTTTTGCATCACTAATATTTGTGAAAGTTTTGAAAAATATTTATGCTATGAAGGTAAACTATGTAGGACTCAATTTTTATGACAGGCAGAAGAAGTTATAAGAAATTCACTATTGATCTAAGAAGCATAAAAGAGTTATTGTTTCAGAAGGGATTGGAATGTATTCATAAATGAAAAAAACCTTAAGGAAAGTGGTGTTGTTTCTTTCTACATAATTGAGAGGCACGAAGAGTCAAATGGAGGGCAGCCATTTTATGTACTTGATGCAGCCTATAGAGAGACCCCAAATATTGGTGGCATGGATCGGATGGTAGATTGGTAGTGGATTTGCATCTGTGCTCGAGACGAAATGCTGACTCTATGCTAACCAAGGAAAAGAAAAAAGAGTGTGAGAATTGCTAGATGTCCACGGAAACAACACTAAATGGGCAGAAGACAGGTTTGAGGCTCTTTGGTAAGTAGATTATTTGAAAAGAGGATCGTATTCCAATTTGCATTGAATGAGATTGAACTGACCTCTTGCTCAGAAGTAAGACTCCTGCAGCGGACAGATGTCCCATGCCACCTTTGTCCTGTTACTTAGTTCTAGAGTTTTCAAGTTTCCCCATGGAAATTATATATGGATAGCATCACCTTACCTTAATGGCTGGAAACTTATTTAGTTTTCTCTCTATACCATCCTTTATTTTCAAAGTATATTTTGATGATTATTCACCTTTTTCAGTTGATGATATAGTATTCGGCCATGATGCCCATTAAAAAATCACATACAGTTTTTTAAGTGTAAGTGACTGCTGCACAGTCATATGAACTATGCAAAGTTAGGGTAACATCAATCTTTGTGTGGTAAACTCATTATGTTTTGATAACAATTAGCATGACACTTGCGTTTCAATCATCAGATAAAATTGTAGCCAAAAAACAGAAATAAGATGAACCAGTTCAAGCATTTTTTGTGTCATGTATTCCAATAACTATATTCAAGACATCAATGGAAAGGTGGGGAGCTAACATTCAAATTTAATGCTGATTTTCCATCCTTCGTTTCTAAAGTCCTATATCTAGGCATTTAGTCTACGCAATACATTGATGATCCACTACCATTTTAAGAGAGAGATAGAGAGGAAAAAGGACATCTACATGCATTCTTATCTATCATAAGAGTTCGTAAATTTTGTCCACAGAGTAGGCAATACTAAATTCAATGATATATGTAAAAATTTACACATAAAAGATCATTTACCAGAGCTTCTCTTGAGGATACATTTGTCTCGGGTGCTCCATAGTTGCACTTTTGGTACCTGTCTAGCGTTTTGAGCATACTGTACAAAATTATTAGTATATCAACTAAAAGAAAATTAATTAAATAACAACAAAAATAAAGATAATAATAAAATCATGCAAAGAAAACTAAGACTGGTTATTCATCAAAGAAATATGAGGCATGCTCAAAATGTGAGTGTTCACAAAATGATTTGTGCTATTATGTAGGCTTAATTTCTGGAAACTGATTGCTTCTTTTCTTCATTTGCTATGAGAAATTTATAGCAGCAACTAACATTAAGAAAGTTATCAGCATCTAGCATTTGGAGTTGAATACATGTAAATTTACTACAAAGTTGAATGAAATTATCAAACGACTGCATCTACTATTGTTAAGGAAAAACTTATTTACTTGCTAAAAAAATAATGAAAATGCAGATCAACCACAATGTTTTGGATTCAAGGTTGTGTGGTTGATTTATACCTTGTTTCTCTCCTATTTTTGTGATGCATGCTACACTTATCTGGCAATATTTTGCAATTGTCACATTTTCCCTGTTGTATAAAATTGGTTGAGAATGGATGAAGTCTGTTGTATGTAGAATGCAAGCGTTTCCTAGAGCATTCTCCATGTTTTTTTTTTTTTGAAATATTGACATGTTAGAACAAATTCCCTTTAAAACATGTTGAGTCAAGGAGCAACAGGTAAAGTTACACAGAAGCTAGCAATACTTATTATTAATTCAAAGATTGAGAAAGTAGGTTAATTTAAATCATTTTAGGAGGTTATTATGTGTGAAGACCCTGGTCCATTACTGGACCCCTGTCTTCCAAGAGCATTCCTCCCATTACCGGGATATCCCGCTCTCCACCAAAGGATTTCGGCTAACCTGCGGGGCAAACCCCCACAGTAGCCTTTACCTCTGTCCCACATCGGGATATCCCGGTAATGGGAGGAATGCTCTTGGAAGACAGGGGTCCGGTAATGGACCAGGGTCTTCACATTATGAAAACACACTTGTACTATGAAAAGTGTTCCATGGAAAGAATTTCCAAGAAGAAAGGATGACCAACGAATGCCTAACTCCATGAAAAACCAAACCCTAGGCCTATAGTGAGAGGCAGGATGGAAAACATCAAGATAGAGAGAGAGACACCCAAGAATGATTGGGGCTCAGGTGGAGCAATTGGAAAAATTTTCAAGAGCGGCGTTGTAAAGGTCTCCATAACCTTAATTGACATCAAGTCCACTTCTTCTGGAGAAGAAAGAAGTAGTAATTAAAGCTTTTATTGTGAATTTGTGTTCAAAGAACAAAGAGGAGTTTAGCTCAGGTAGAAACTCTAATTCCATGGTTATGAAACAAAAATAGCAGCCAAAGAAGGGTCATGAAAGTTATATATAAGACACAAAAAACACAGATAATTAGAAAGTTGAAACTCAAAACCCTAAAGGGCCTAAACACCAGGATTTGCTAATGAAAGCAATCCAAATCTGTATTAGCAGCAATATTCATTAAATTTAGAGAAAGAGGGATTCAGTAAAGAGCAGAATTTATAATGAATACCAAAACACTTAAAAGGGAAATATGAATAAAAAAATAAAGATGATGAAAAAAGATGAGCTTTCAAACCTTGCAAGTGCAATCTAGAGTATTTCAATGCTCCTTGAAAAAAAGAAAAGAAAGAAAGAAAAGAAAGGAAGAAAGACCTACTGGGATAGCTTCATCGCGCAGCTTTTAGAGCGATTGATGAGAGACTAGTTTTCAGAACAAAATGAAACAGAAAGCAGTACTAAACATGAAGAAATTCAAACGCTTTTGTAATATCAAATCAGAAATTAAGAACCAAAAGGTAAGAGACTTGGAAGCAAATGCAGACATCATTCAACCAAAACACAACATACATAGAACTGATCTTGTTTTCAAGGTTTCCACTTGCAGATCTAACAACACCACAAGCACAAAGTTCTATAAACACCTATACATTCACAAAAAGGGCAAAAACTCAGCTCCAAAAAAGAGAGAAAAAAGAAGCAAGTAGCCTTTCCTTATTTCTTATTTCTTTCCATCTTTCACAAGCTCGTCACACACTTGAAACTGCAAAAGATTTTCACGCCAAAGCTATCTAGATCTAAAACGCCAAATCCAAANTTTCTTTCCATCTTTCACAAGCTCGTCACACACTTGAAACTGCAAAAGATTTTCACGCCAAAGCTATCTAGATCTAAAACGCCAAATCCAAACAAGAAAAAAAAAAAAAAAAGAATCTAGAGAGAGAAGGTGAGAGAGAAAGCAAAAAAAACAAGGCTTTTGTAAATTTCTATATGACTATACACAAGTCTGTATAGACATAACATATATNGAAGAAAAAAAAAAAAAAAAAGAATCTAGAGAGAGAAGATGAGAGAGAAAGCAAAAAAAACAAGGCTTTTGTAAATTTCTATATGACTATACACAAGTCTGTATAGACATAACATATATACAAATAAAGTAAATTTGCTTTTCTTTTGTTATACCTTGAGCTACTGCAAAACTCGAAGAGCTTTCCTCTAGTGGAGAAGACGATCAGAGCGACCTCAGCATCGCATAGAACCGAAAGCTCGTAAGCTTTCTTCAAAAGGCCATTCCTTCGTTTAGCGAAGGTCACTTGCCTGTTGATCTTGTTCNAAGTCTGTATAGACATAACATATATACAAATAAAGTAAATTTGCTTTTCTTTTGTTATACCTTGAGCTACTGCAAAACTCGAAGAGCTTTCCTCTAGTGGAGAAGACGATCAGAGCGACCTCAGCATCGCATAGAACCGAAAGCTCGTAAGCTTTCTTCAAAAGGCCATTCCTTCGTTTAGCGAAGGTCACTTGCCTGTTGATCTTGTTCTCTATTCTCTTCAACTCAACCCTACCTCTCCCCATTTTCTCTCTCTGTCTCTCCCTCTTTCTCCTTTCTCTTATCACTGAAGCTCACAAAAACACAAATTTTCTCTCTACACCTCCTTTTTAGTTTTTCCTACCTTGTATCACTCCATATTTATGCACACACTCCATCTCCTAAATATGTACTATTACCCTATGGGTCAATACACCAACTCTGTTGGGGTGTGTGTGTGTGTGATCATATTTGTGGAATTTTGTGTGATTATTTTTGTGGAGTTTTAAGACACTAACAATGATTACATAACCCTAAACAAATGATAGTTAATGAGACAATGATCTAGTGTTTATGAGGTGTATATGTCTTGGTAGGGGTTCACTTCATTAGTTCATTATTAATGGTTGTGATGGAGGACTGGTGGTAATCAGACGGTGAAAGAGGTGGGGGTAGATCAATACGATGGTGGTGAAAAGCAAAGCAGGTTTAGAGAGAGAGAGAGAGAGAGAGAGAGAGAGAGGAAACCTTAAAACTCATGAGGTAAATGTATGTTGGATCACACGTGTCGAAATAAGAAGTCATCTGAGTCTGATGATTACATGCGAATTCTCAGGGTTTGTTTGGGCAATTTGCATGTTGTCTTAAATTTACGAGAATGCCCTTCAATTTGCTGTACCTAGTTGTGATAAAGATTTCATTGCATTGACAAGAATGGTTAAAGGTTTATGTTTGATTTACTCACAGTCGCTCATCTCTGCTTTAATGCTGACATATGATCACGTGGTATGCTTACATACAGGTAAGTTTTGGAAAATATCGATGAAATTATTTTATTGTCAATTTCAAAATGAAAAAGACATATAAAAGATATTGTATTCTATCATACTGTTTTTTGAATAGATGACACGCATCGTATTACTTGTACAAAGTCCATCTTTTAAGTTTGATCAATTTACACCGCATATTCTTTCTAAACGTAATAATACAAGTATATTAAAATTAGTATACATAACGTTCATATCGAGTCAAATAAAAATTGTGATTTTGTTCATGTATTATTCGTAACAGAATCTAATTAATAATAGTGTGAACACTATCTATGATTTTCTTCTTCTTTCCATTTGTTTACCGGTAAGAATTACTCTGTGCATAGAATGTATTCAACAATTACTAACTTGACAACCAAAAAATAGAAAAAAAAAATGGAATATTAATAGAGTTATTGATAACACAACGACTTTCCTATGGAGGAGGAAGAAGCTTGGGGCTTGCGGAAGTGCAGTTGGTAGGTTAGTGTTCGTCTTGTGCACAAAATATCAAATCTGCCCCTCAGCTAGAAACAAATTTGCCTATTAATAAAATGTCGAAGAAAAAGGGGGATAGCATTCGAGAAGATCATACAATGTTCTTTATCAATTGACTAATTTCATATGTAGCTGGCATACATAGCTATCTCCTACCATGTGTATGTCTTAACTGCAAATATCGTGAGCTTGATCACCTATGGAGGCGGCCGCAGATTAGATTTTGGGATTGCTACCACCTTTTCCGGCGGTCAACTGAACAAAAGAGTTGTTATGTGTCTAACAAAATATTGAAGCAAATTGTTGTAATTAAGATAATCTTCTTCAACCTTCATTGAAGAGTTTTCCTTCATAGTTGAGTATAATTCTACATCGTGACTATGACTAAAATCACAGCAGCAGCACCATCTTTTTTTTTTTTTTTGGAAGGTAAAAACTATATTGAAACAGAAAAGAAAGGTGAACAAATATAAAGAAAGGAACACCCAAGGACTCACTTCCAAGTGAATCCAAATCAAGAAACAAAACAAAAAAAAATTAGTCATTCCACAATCAAACAAAACATTCAGGTAACAGGTCTCAATGAAGAGCCAGCTGCAGATTAGTGTTAGAAGTTCTGAACTTAATGGAAGTCATTCTGTCCTTGATAGGCAGATAGATAGTCTTGGAAACGATATTAGCATCTTGCTTATGGCCCTGAAGTACATCTTGCTATTTCTCTCCATCCAGATGTGGTAAATAGCTGCAGCAAGACTTTTTTTTTTGGAAGATAAAATGTATTAAAATAAAAAGGTAAACAAGGGTAATCACCCACAATTGTACAAGAAGTTACATAGGACTCAAAGACAAACATCAAACAAAAAAAATCACATAGCTAATGCTCAAAACACAAGTCTGTAAGAGATACCTTGAGAAAGGGCATCTCCCACAGACTTGTTGACAAAAATATATTGGTAGACAAAAAACAGAAAACCATAACATCCCAGCACAACAAAGCAGATCAGCCCCAAGCCGCAGCACAGCCAAAGCAAAACAGCTCAGCACAGAACAGGCAAAACTGCTCCAATCAGCAGCACACCAAGGCAAAACAGCCCAACATAACACAACAGGACAGCCCCAAGCACCAGCAAACACAACCAGCAAGCAACCAGAAGCATAAGCATTTGATTCATGGCTTACATTTGTATGCAAAAACTTCTGTCCTGAACTGACATGTTTGTACGCAAATGTGCAGAAATTATGTGCCCAATCATTATCCTCACTCTTGTGTGGCTTGTCCAAGGCAAGCTTGACTCAGAATTTCATATAACAGTAGCTCTCGATGGGTCTGGAGACTTCAACACAATCTCTCATGCTGTCAACGCAGGAAGCAAGGAAGAACCAAACAAAGAAGATAGCCAATTGGATGACCTTTGAAGCAGTGCCAATGTCCTTACTTTTAGCCCTGAATATCTGGGCAGGACTTCAGCCATGGATCAGAGCTTTGTTACTCAAGTAGACTTATGCCATAGATTTGCCCCTCCAGTTGGAAGCAGCCCATTCCACCAACTCACCCCAAGGTTTAGGCTGCATAGTAACACCAGATAAGGCAAGAATTGAGCTCCATACTCTAGCCGGATAAGGGCAATCAAAGAAAAGGTGATGATGAGACTCTTCTACCGCTTTACATAAGGTGCACAGAGTACCAAGGTGTGTAGTATAAGATTGAATTCTGTCTAAGGTGCTCAGCGTGCAGCCATTGGCAAGCCAAAGAATGAAATTGTATCTAGGGACTAAATTGCTATTCCAAACCAGTTTATGCCAGCTAACAGTAGAGCCCCTTCTCCTTATAACCTCCCAAGCAGATGTAGCAGAGAATTTAGCATTAGCTGAAGGTAACCATTTGAACTTTAAAAAAAAAAAAAAATTCAACTGCACTTTCTTACCAAGACAATAAATTTATATATATAGAGCGAAATATCATGAGTCCTTTCCATACTATAAGGATCATCAATCAAAACCTTAATCGTCTTTCTCAATGCTGCGTTTTGTACCTGAAAATACTTTTTATATGAACGGAATGAGCTTAATAACAAAAAGGACATAAGAATGACTTACCATTCTTATGTTTGACAACTAGTAGAATTAAGTATTGGTATAGAATTGAAGCTTCATTCAAATGCATGGATAAATCGTTCTTTTTACAGGCACGGGTCATGGACCCCTGAAACTAGGACTAAGATTTGGACCCTAGATTCAGACATCATACCTTTGACCTAATACGGGAGGAGACCAGGATCCATGACCCTGTACGTAGGACTTGGACCCCGAACATCGGGACACTCGACCCAAAACCCCATACCCCAAATATTAGGCTTGGACTTGGAACTAAGATCCCAAACACAAACCCAGACCTTAGGACTTGAACCCAGGATACGACCTTCGGATTCAAAACATAGACCCTAGACCCTAGAACCTAGATCCCAGGACACTGTCACTGGAGCCCCGGGTACCTAACCCTAGAGCTCAGACTCCAGACCCAAGACCCAGATCTTGGTGGTGGCGACAAGGATTAGTACTTAATAATGATGGCTTCATTCCTATGTACCAGTCCCACATACGAAACATAGTGTTAATTGGATGATAAAAACACATCTATAGGGTTTCAAATTAATCCTTGCCACCTCTTGGTTGGGAGTTGGGACAATCTGGAGTGCCAACTATGCTAGGTGTAGTTGGTTTAGATTTAAAGAAATAATGATGGAGATTTTTTAATAATATCATTTGCCCTAAAGAATTTGGGTAGGCAAAAGGTGAGGTATATATGTAATGAAAGTTTGCCAATTTAGTCATTCAGTTGTCAAATTCTTGTGGATAGATCAAACTACGCTAAATACTTTCCACTTTAGGAACGTCTCCAACAAACTTCCGAAAAACGGTATCAGCTCAAAAGTCCATAATCGAAACCATAAATTTTACATTGCAATGTAATGAAGATTTCCTGGGAAGATGAGATGAACAAGGCATGGCAAAGGAATGTACAAATGTGGCAATATGATGACCACTGACTTTGTGGTATATGGGACTTGGGAGTTTTAAGGTACAAAATTAGGGTGCCCCAAACGTAATGTACGAATGTTCAGGCAATTGACTTCATTTTTTTGTCAAGATCTTAAACAGAAACGCTGAGAAGTTTTCAACGATGAAACTTGTATAACTTCATTTTCTTGGCTAAATTCTAAAATATCTTCGATCGACAAGCTCAAAAAAATTATGCTGAATTTTGCAATTCTCTGGATGCAAACTGCAAACGAGGCATAAAAATATAACATGCACTGAACTAGGAATGAGGAAATTGGTTTCCCGGTGAATTTTCTATATTTTTTAAACCCTTTAAAGTAATTTCTACAAGCTTTCCCACAGAAGATCAAAATTCCCTGTTTGATGCATCTGATCAATACGCTTTTTCTTGTAAATTGGAGTGGATCTTAATATGTATTTTATGCATGACAAATGCAATGAAGAGATTTTCTTGCCTTTGCTTTTTCTAATTATGCAGAAAATTAAGCTGACCTTAATAGTTCTTTACGGGCTAGAGAACTCATAACATGATGGGAGAATCGCACGCTCTCCCTTAAGTTGATTGAGGTTTAGTCTATCGAGTCCACCTAAGGCTAGAAGGTAGTAGCCCCCTCCTGCCAAAAAAAAAACCCATTTCGCCAGACTACCACCCCGATGGTAATTAGTAAGTTAGATCTTGG